ACCAGTGTATGTGTGTAGGTAAACAGAGAGGGTGAAGGAGAGCGAATATGGTCAATGTACTTTGTATACACGTATGAAAATTGACAATGAAGCCTGTTGGGGAGGGAGAATGAGGAAGAATAAGATACATGTAAGCACATATGTAAATGAAACCTCCCTGTAAAACTAGTATTACTAATAAATAAAAATATTAATTTCCAGTCCAGTTTCGATAGGAGCCAGCAAGGCCCTATAGTAGGCATTTGTTTTAGAATTGGCTGTGGAGAGTGGGTAGAGGAGAGGGGAAGTTAAGAAGTGGTTCCTGGGACACTCAGTGGAACAGGGACCAGGAGAAGTAGATCTGTTAGGGAAGATGGGGACCTTGGGTTTTGATCTGTAGGTATGAGGTCCCTATAAGACCCTGGAGTGAAGTTTCCTGAATTCTGCATTATCAACATTTTGGGCAGGATAAGTCATGTGTGGGTACTGTCTTTTATTACAGAATGTTTAGCAGTTTCCTGGGTTTCTATCTATTAAATTCTAAGAGTCTGACAACCAAAAATGTCTCAACATCACTGTAGTTTCCTGGGATCAAAACTTGGCCCTAGTGGTAGAATGCCTGCTTTGCAAGCACAAAGCCCTGAGTTCAAACCCCAGTCCCACAAAAAACAAAACAAAAAACACAATTGTCCCAGTTGAGAACTATTTATCAAGAAAAAAAGATTATAATGTGATTTTTCCCTAGTTTAAAAAACATACACACACTTATTACTTAAAATTGTACAGTCCAGTGGTTTTACAATATATCCAACCAAGCTATCCAATCATTACTACTAATTCCAGAACATTTTAAATACCCCAAAAGAAACTCCATACCTACCAGCGGTTACTCTCCATTTCCCTTCCTCTTTTCTGGGCAACTACTCTACCACAAACTCTATAGATTTGCCTTTTCTGACATTTCATGAGTAAAATCATAGACTATGAGGCCTTTTGTGTCTAGCATCTTTCAGTTGGCATGTTGTCAAGATTCTTCCACATTGTAGCATGCTTCAGTACTTGGTTCATTTTTATGGTCAAATAATCTCCCACTCTGTGGATTTATCAGTTTGCTTATCTACACATCAGTTAAGGGATATATGGATTGTTTCCATTGTCCCCCACTACGAATAATGCTCTGAACATTTCTGTACAAGTTGTGTGGACATACATTTTAAATTTTGGGGGAAGTATAAGGAGTAGTATTGCTGGATTATGTGCTAACTCCAGATTTAACCACTGGAGGAACTGCCAAACTATTTTTCCAAGTAGTGGCACCATTTTATACTCCCAGCAGCAATGTCTGAAGGTTCTAATATCCCCAGTGCTCACCATCACTTGATTGTCCTAAACCCGTATCTTTTGACTCAAGTTTCCAAGCAAGCATTTAATATTAGCCTACACTGTTTATGACAACTTCATGGACAAGAAAACTACTGGTGGGAGGACGACTTTCACAAGGTCATACTTAGAGGTCAATAATAGTCCTTTTCAGATCCAATATTTATTATTCTGTTGATAAACTGTAAAATGATAATTCTATTTTGTATTTCATGTAAGCAGCTAGCAGTCTGACATGTTATCTGTTTTTGCTGGCTTTTTAGTTTTTAGAGATCCACCCATGTGTATACTCTTCCTCTTTCAACTACTCAAGGTATCACTTAGCAAGTGTCTTCTCTCTGTATCATTACTTTTCTCTTTATTAGATTGTTCCATTCCCATTGTACAATCTTACAGTATTTCCAATCTTAAGGATAGTCAGCAAAACTGACCATCCTATATAGTCCTTGCCAGTGTCTATCCTATTTGTCTATTTTCTTTTGGAGCAGACTCCTGAAGAGTTGTTTCAGTACTCCTCACTTCTAACTCTTCTCCTCCCACCCTTCCATTCTTAAATCACCCTATCATTCCCAACTCTTCAAAAAGTCACTAACGACTATTAATTTGCCAGAATCCAGATAATTTTCAGTCCTTATACTACTCAACTTACAAGTAGCTTTTGACTTTTTATTGCTGTTCAATATCTTTGCTTGTTATAGATCTATTTAGGTGATCTATATCCTCTTGGTTCAGTTTTGGTTAGTGATGTATCTAGAAATTTACCCATTTCTTGTAGATTTTCTGATTTGTTTGCATATAAGTTTTCAAAGTAATCCCCAATGATTGCCTGGATTTCCTTGGTATTTGTTATGAACTTCCCTTTTACATTTCTAATTTTATTAATTTGGGCCTTTTTCCCTTCTCATTTTAGTCAGATTTGCTAGGCACTCATCAATCTTATTTCTTTTCAAAGAACCAACTTTTTGCTTTGATGCTTTTTTTTCTGTCTCTGTATTGTTGATTTTGTTCCTTGTTTTTATTCTGTCTCTCCTGCTGGTTTTGGGTTTAGCTTGTTCTTGTTTCTCTAGGAGTCTGAAATGCAGCTTTGAGACAATACGTGCATTTTTAAATTTGAGACAATATATGCATTTATTATATACTTTCCCCTTAGCACTGCCTTTGCTGTGTTCCATAGATTCTGCTTTTTCATTAAATTCCAGGAACTTTTTGATTTCCTCTCATTTCTTTGATGACCCATTAATCATGGAGCAATGTATTGTTCAGTCTCCAAGTGCTTGAGTATTTTCTGCTTTCTTTTGTTGTTGAGTTCTAGTTTTATTCTGTTATGGTCAGACAGTATGCAGGGGGTTATTTCAATTTTCTTAAATTTGTTAAGACTTGCTTTGTGTCCTAAAATATGATCATTTTGGAGAAAGTTCCATGGGCTGCTGAGAAGAATATATATTCAGGTTATAACATATATGTGTGTATGTGTGTGTGTGTGAATATATATGTATGTGTGTGTATATATACGTCATAATGAAACTCCCTGTATAGCTATCTTAAACAAAAATGTCTTTTTTCAGAGGACAGGAAGGTACCAGTGGGAGGGGTAGGATTTAAGGAAAGGGTGTAGAAGGGTGAATATGGTGGAACTATTAATTACTCATGTATGAAAAATTGAAAAATGGTATCTAAGAATGATGGAGGGGGTGAACTTAACTAAGATATATTGTAAGCACTTTTGTAAATGTCACAGTGTACCCCCAGTATAATAATATAATAAAAAATAAAAATTAAAGAGACTGCTCTGAAATAAATGATTTATGAATTTATAGATGTAAAAAAATGTAAGTAGCTTTTGAAACACTTTTTGTTTGACTTCCAGGACCCTGCTTCCCCAACACCACGATACTGGTCACTCCTCGTCTCATCTGCTTGTTCTGTCTCATTTTCCCACCACTAAAAGTCAGAGCAACACAGGGCTTGGTCTTTGGGCCCTAATTCTTCTCTACTTAGATGTCTACCAAATACCTCTAATAAACTCCTGGTTTTTTCCTCTTAAATCTTCCAATATTCCCCAAATCCCTAGTAAGTAGCAATCCCTGTCTTCTACTTTCTCAGGCTACTAACCTTGGAGTCATACTCCATTCTTCCTTTTCTTTCTGACCTCATTAGTGTTTTTTTTTAATGTTCAGAATCTGACCACTTCTCACCTCCCCATTCTGGACAACCACCACCTTTCATCTGGATGATAATTGCTTCTCAACTGGAACTCGTCTCTGCTCCCCCATCCCCATGCCCCTACAGGCTATTCTCCATGCAGCAGTGTGATCCCTTTAAAAAGTAGCTGGTATCACATTCCCCTGAACAAATCCTTCAGACTGACTGTAATAGATTGTCTACAGAATGGCCACCATAATGCCTCTCTGTGTCCATATTCTTGTGTAGCGCCTTTCTATACTGACTCTGGACTTGGCTGCGTGGTTTGATTTGGCCAACAGGGCAATATAAATATGAAGCAAGCAGAAGACTGGAAAGTGCTGTTCACTATGGCTGGTCATATGTTGCAGCAGGGAACACTTCTGCCACGTGAACAGACTCAGTCTAGCCTCCTGGACAATAAATGACCACATGGAAAGAAGCCTCAACTATTTCAGCTGAGTGACACATCTTCTAGCTCAAGATGCATCAGCCCAGTCCAGAAAAATAAGACAGTCAACCTAGAGATCTTGAAAAATAATAACTTTGTTATTTTAAACCACTAAATATTGGGGTGGTTTGTTACCCAGCAAAAGAGAACTGGTAGACTACTCATTTCATTCAGAATAAAAGCCCTATCCCTCCTACCTACAAAGCCTCACAAAATCAGGTTCCCCTTGTCCTATTCCACTTCACTTATAGCCTATTACTCTCATATCCAGCACTATCCTACCTTGGAGCTTCTGTATTTTGTTCTCTATGCCTGAAATGCTCCTTCCTCAGATATCTGCATGGCTTCTTCCCTGACTTCTTTCTTATCTCTGCTCAAATATCACCTTATTCAAGAGAACTTGTCTTATTGCCCTAACAAATATCCCTGGCACTTCCTACCCATGCCCCTTACCCTGCTTTATATTTTTTTGTCCTTACTGTCACTGGACATATACATTAACCACTTATCTCTTATTTGTAACCCTTCCCCACACACTCACAAGATACCAGTTTATGCTCCAAAAGAGCAGGAACTCTTTGTTGTTCATCACTGTATCTCTGGCACAAGAATAGTGCCTGGAATTTTTTTTTTTTCTATCACAGGAAAATGCTAAAATAGCGCTCTTGCCAATTTGGTGTCTAGGTCTATCATCTGAACTGTTTCTTGGGGGTTGAGGGGGAAAAGTGGCAACTGTGTTCCATATTAGGGCATGTTACACTTAATGTAGGCTGAATTCCTATAGCACCTATGACCTAGGAAACACTCCCACAAACATCTCCTAAGTATTCAGATGGGGCAGTAAGATGTTGGCTTGGTGCTGGCCAGCTCCAAATTCTGTTCCTTTTGACCTCTTGCCCTGCCCCTTTCTTCTCATCCTTTCCCCATTAGTCTGTAATACCAGTTTATTTATAAAGAAACAAAAACTCCAAGAAAATATTATCAGCATAAAAATTTATTTGAATTCAAAATAATGTGGTTATATTTAGAATAATGTAATAATTATCTAAAGGAAATATCATCATTGGCTCTGAAAGTCTAAAGATGTTATACTTTTGAAGTCAGAAAATAGGTAGCAATAATGTACAAGGAAGCAAAAAGTATAGGAACAAGTCTGCTAAATACCGAGACACTGTAACAGAGTTCAAACTATAAAACATGCAAAAACAAGCTCCATCAGCTCCCCAGAAAATAAGTCCGTGGACTTAAGAACACAAATATACCACCACTTTGTTAACTGAACAAACTTTCTGCAGGATACCAGTAGTAATTTACTATACTTCTCTAGTTCCTCTCCATATCCAATTTCTTTTCTTTAACATGGGTTTCCTTCTGTTGACAAAATATTTGGTTTATTTGCAAAGTGATTACACTCCTGATTGAAGTATTCAAGGATTTAGTTGAAGATGCTCAGGGATCAAACTTTTTAAAAAGGTCAACTCAGCTAGTTAGCAGAAACCATCAGTGGCTTGCAGGGAAAAAAAAAATTCAGGTAATAAGTTTGCTAAAAAGATGAGAAGAAGCAGTTAAAAATGGGTGAAAAATCATAGGGATTACTGTAATGTAGATAATCAAAAACAGCCAAATGACCTTTGATTAAACTCATTTAAGTTCCAAGACAGAGTTTGGTTCCTAACAGTGTCCATAGCCAAAGGGCACTCAGAAGGTCTCCTCCTCTCGAAGAAACTGGAACACCGCTGAGAAGTCTTTCTTTGAGTAGCCCTTTGCACACATCATCCTGTAGATCTGATGGGCCAGGCTGCCCAGAAGGACTGGGCTCTTTGTGCTGGTAGCAGAGTCTTGTGCCAATCCCAGATCCTAAAGCAAATAAGGGCAGGAGGAAACACATTGAGACTGGCCCACTTTAGAACTGTGCTTCCTAATGCTATACATATACAAAGAAGGACAGCGAAGAGAGAGGGAGAGATTTTTTTTTTGTCCTTTTGATGCTAGGGATCAAACTGCAGGCTTTGAGCATGTGAAAATGCTATCACTGAGCCTCACAGCCTTTATATATTGTTATAAGTGCTTTCATATAGCTGCAAAACTGTTCTAAACAAGCCTTGGTTTCTGGGTGCCTCCTCTACTTTCCCATCCTCTATAAGACCTATGTGTTTTGGTTTTGGATAGGAATTATTACAAAGGGAAATGTATTGTCAATCTGTGGAAATCTGTAAGATTGCCATCAAGTACAAAGTAATTTCTAATGTGAAGGGAAATAAAACTTCAAAACAGGAAACACAGTTTCAAATATTACACCATCCAATAATATTTGAAGTGTGCTGAAGATGAATACAACGATGAATAAGAATGCCACAGCCCACACAAACTCTTGTCTACTGAGGAGGAAAGACAATGAACAAGCATATTTATACAATTTGATAGAAATGCCATCATGGGAATCAATGAAGCACAGTCCCGGGTACTCAGTAGAGCTTTGCAGAGGAAGAGATGACTAACCACAGGTCTAAAAGACGATTAGTTGTCAGCTAGGTAAAAGTGCGGCTGGGGAGGTGGCGGGCAAGGAAGAATGATCCTGGCAGAGGGAAAAGCAAATGGGGAAGTTTACAAGAGAGAAGAGGCAGAAATGAGTTTAAAATGGCTGAAGCAGAGAGAGGTGTGGGAAAGCAAAAATGAGTCTGGTGATGTAAGCAAAGGCTAGATCATCAAAGGCCCTGTTAGGTTGCAGAGATGGACTTTAATCTATAAGTAACTGGAAACCATTAAAGGAACTCAATAGGAAAAGTGACATGATCAGGTTTTTACATTTTGCTATGGTGTGGGAAATGGACTAGAAATCAGGATGAAAGCAAGGCAACCAGCTAAGGAGTCTGGTGGTATCTAAATAATGTGCAGCCAATGCACTGGTAGATGAAGAAAAGGGAACTGGATGAATTCAAGGCATACTCAAGAGGTAGAATGGACAAGTACTATGGGAAATGAGAGAGAGTAAACCAACTATGGAGTCCAGATATGTGTGTTATTACCTTTGTAATCTGAAAAAGTCAACTAGGAGGAATGAGCTCTATACAGAAATCTTAAAGTCTGCTGGTCTAGAAAGTATTTTCTAAGGTTGACTTACAAAAGAAATGAAGCCAATGATTTGCTTTTCAAATGACTTAATTTACACAATAGTCCATATATACACTTAAAGCAGGAAGATGTATTTGGAAATCATGGCAAAAATCCCCTTTTCTTGTGGGTGTATATATGCAACCCTAATGTATTATTAATACTCTGGTAACTACTACTGCTTACCAACTCTAAGGAGTTGGTAAATTAACATAAATTTGTGATGAAGAACAAATTTTACCAGTTTATATTATAAGCAATTCCAAACCCAAAATAAAAATCCTGGCCCATTCTTTTAATTCAAAAGCCCAGGAATAAAATAAACAAGATAAAGATTTTTATCTATGTTTTTACTCATTTCTAGTGGGAAAGGGAAAGTGAGTCACTATTCTAGTAATTTTGCCTTCTAGAATAGACATCTGCTTTGTCTATGACTACAAGGGAGGGGAAAAAGGAAAAGGAGAGAGAGAGAAAGAGAGAGAGAGAGAGAAAGAGAAAGAGAGAGAGAGAGAGAGAGAGAGAGAGAGAGAGAGAGAGAGAGAAGGGAGGGAGAGACTGAGAAATTAGAGCACTGATCATTTTCCCCCTCCCTTGGTTAGGTTCTGCACTGACCATACCTTAGCCATGAGTGTTGCTCCAAATCCTCCCTCATAGTTATTAGCTGAAGGAACTCCATCCATCACTCCTGGTACAGGATTATAAGTATCACTTGACCAACACCGTCCTGAGCTCATATTTAGGATTTTAGCCAATAGTTTTGGGTCAAGCCCTAGCCTGTCAAAGGTTAAAGAAAAGAAGTGTTAAATGTCAAAATGTACAAGTCACACATGACTTATTTACATATGAGGATATTCCATCTTCTCTCATTTATTATAGCGTTCTAAAATCAAAGCAAATTGATGTAAGAGTGAAGAATCTAATTTTGAATTATAGGGCATTAAAAGCTACTAATGAATCATTTCTGAGCCAGGACATTGTGCATTTACAGAAAATTTTCTGAACTATTCTACTTTTAAGAAGAAATAATATATAATTGCATAAGCATATGGTTGGTTTGTCACACTCACAGGTTTTGCAGTCTTTTAGCCATTACTGCTTTTATGTGTCACTTATGAACTCTAAACCAAGAGGATAACCTAAATTCTAATTCTTTACACACAAATGATATATTTCGGAAAGAAATACTGACAGGTAAACAATACATCATGGGAGGCTGTGTGGATGCATTTATATGTATGTTTATTCCTTTGGCTTTTATTGGCTTTTATGAGAATAAATGCAAGAGATGAACCATGAGCAGTAAAATGTGTTTAAGAGAAGTTATCATTATAAAAGACATTTCTGGCTGCAAACTTTTCCTTATTTATTAAATCTTCACTAGACAACCTTGCTTATGAAGAAAGTCTGCCCAGAGTGACATATGCTATCTATTCAGAGACATACATTATAGTTCTGGGTCAACTGCTGATAAGGTTACTGATCCTGATAAAACAAAGCTTGCCCAAGCAGAAACATCATTTGTTCTATCACTAGGCTGATGGCATAAACGACTGTACAATGTGGACCCTACAAAAAAGAGCATCAAAATGCTCTGTTACTTTGTAATGATCTTAACAAAGTTTGGGAAGCAAAGTTTTACTAAGTATCACTGAATCAAGTTTCAAATAAAACTTTATATTCAGCAATTTACTAGTTTCTCTCATGCAAAGGGTCATTATTAAAAACAACTGTCATAAAAACTCTCAGCTTTGTCTTAAAACAAATCTCTTCTAGAAAATAAAAAAAGATTTAAGAGACACTTTTGTAAATTTAAACACATTGCATTTTGGCTTGCTTAAATTGATGTTTACATTGTGTGTCTGAAATTTTTGTCTGTACATCTCAAAATCTGAATTTGAAGACCACTGCTAGCATTTTTCTGATGGCAGAGTGGGGGCAAAAAAGCTAACAGCCAGATACGTATGAAATTACCATACAATACAACTGATATGTAATCAGGCTCTCAATGGGTAGCAGTGATTCATGGAATGCTATGTGGCATACCTCATATCTGAATTCATATCATTGCCCATGTTATAATGATGGGTTTTTACTAAGGATTAAAACAGACATAGAAGATCCCATCTAACTCAGCTATCATACATTCTGGTCAATCACAGATTGCCAGAGAGAAACCCAACAATTTCATTCATTCCTTTATAAAGATCCAAGTCTGTTTTATGTGAAGTTTTGGATGCTTCACATGGATACTTTCTCCTTTTACATAAAATCAACTTTTAAGTATAATGTTGTAGCATGTGACTTAAGAAACAGCAAAGCCAATGTGTTCCCAGAATAACTGTGAAGAGTAAAATCACAAGTTAACAGTTACCTAATTGCTGTATCTGCAAATATATATTCTTTAAGCACAAATGTTTGAGAACATACATGTCTAATATGCTCCATAAAGATAGATTTACTTTTTTTTTTTTTTAAGGGACTGGGGTTTGAATTCAGTGCTTCATACTGGTAAAGCAGGTGCTCTACCATTTGAGCAGCCCTCCAGTCCATTTTACTTTGGTTATTTTAGAGATGGGTCTCACAAACTATTTGCTGGGGCTGGCCTTGAACCACAATCTTCCTGGTCTCAAGTCTTGGAAGTAATTATGATTATAGGCACTGGCGCCTGGCCAAGAGAGAATACTTTTTAAAGACATTATTAAACATTTTTAATAATGTTTTTATTTTTAAAAACATTGCCTTTCCTGTCTATTTGAAATATACTTTAAGGTTTCCTAACTTAGGTTTTCTCTTAAAATTATTTACCACATTTAAAGCATCAGCATTATTCCCCTCTTAATAATCTACCAGGCTGTACTGGGCAGTACATCACAAGATTCTTCACTGCTAAGGAAATCTGTACTCTGTAATACCCACCAAAATGACAAGAAGCTTAGTTTCCTAACTTTCTAAAACCCTCCATTTTTCTTGACCATTCAAGGGAAAATACTGGCACTGATTCATGGATACCTATTTCAGTGCACATATTCCTATTTATAAAGAAGTATCCTAAGGGACACACACACACACACACACACAGAGTCAGGTGGCAGTTGTTCCCTGTTTGCTTTTCAAACCTGACGCTTTCCACTGGTGCAGATCAGGAGATGGCTACTCCCTCCCACTTCTCCTCCCTGCCCCCAACTCTGCAGCAAAGTGTATCATTAAAAAGAGCAAGTAAGAAGTGTTTTGCATTTCATCTTTTTGAGGATTCTTTCCCTGGCACATACATAACTGACAGTTAAAATTAGACATGATATTAAAATCAGTTACTGAAGTCCTCTGTCTTCCACTGTGCCCAAGGCTTGTAATGGTCTGAAACTAGCTAGAATACACAGTAATTGTCATTCAGAGTCTATCCTAGAACGTCATGCTTCACTGGAGAAGACTGAGTTTCCATTTGAAATCAACAAATTAATCCAAGACAGGTATCTGAAAGGGCAAGTTTAATAGGAAGCAGCTACTGGGCTCTCAACCATGATAAAATGTTATTGCTGTTTCCCTGTAAATTGGCTGGGAACATATGATACTTTCTGCATAAGAGCCCCATTGCTGTTCAGGAGATATACAGCTCAACCCATCAAAAGGATGACAGTCTGTCAGTCCCCATAATAACTTGCCACTGGATGTGGTTCGAGAGTGTGCACTTACATGCAATGTGGCTTTACAATTGCTGGAATGTTCTCTGATATAAACAGAGAATTAATTCATTTCTCTGACCGAATATAAAACGCAACTCAAATAAACATCACTATGTCAAATCTACTCACCTCTAAAACACAAGAATGTTAAATGACTTTTGGGAGAAGTAAAAAAAGGTAAACTTTCAAAAAAAAATAAAAAGAATCAAAACTCTTACCTTCACTGTAACCAAGATATTACTAAAGGGCCAAAAAAGTTTGCTTGTTTTACATTATCTGTGAGTATCTACATTGTTTGGTTTTATGTAAGACCAACAACAAAAATTATGATACCAAACTAGGATGTTTGTATCATAAAAACAGATCTGGAAAGAAAAATAAAGCTGGGTCAATCTTAATCATCCACTTATTCACCAATGATTACTTGCATCTGCTATGCGCAACTGCTATTCAGGAGCCAAAGGGACAACAAAAAGGAGGCTGTGCCTGCCTATCAGGAGAGGGTGAGTTAAGACACATACCTACGTAACATGTGACTAGGCAGAAGGGTTGCATCCTATCCACTCACGCATCCCCTCCCTCATTTAGTCAAGTCTGCATTGAGAGCCTGCTATCTGCCAGGTATGTTCTTAAGATTCAGTCATGAGTAACAGAGCCATTCCCCCTCCTGGAGCTTACTTTCTAGATGGGAAGATAAGCAATCAGTGCGTGTGAGTTTACACATATAAACATATGGCAGCTAGTGAGAAGTGTTAAGAAAGAAAGAATGTTCAAATGCAAATCAATTCAAAGATCACCACAGCGACAGATATCAATAACTACCACACAATGAATACCTATTGCGACAGATATCAATAACTACCACACAATGAATACCTATTATGTGCCAGGAACTGTTTTAAAACATTTACATAGACTAACTCAATCTTCACAACAATCCAGTGAATAGATACTATAATCATTTACAGGAGTTTAAACTCAGGGCCCTGTGCTTGTTATGCAGACACTCTATCTCTTGAGTCACACCCCACAACCCTTTTTGCTTTAGGTTATTTTTCAGGTAAGGTCTGGAGTTTTTGCCTAGGATCAGCCTCAGACCATTGATCCTCCTACTCATGCCCTCCACACAGCTGAGATTATAGCCTGGAACACCATGGCCAGCTTGTTTCTTGAGATGAGTTCTTGTTAATTTTTTGCCTAGGCTGACCTTTAATAGCAATCCTTTCCATCTCCACCTCCCAAACAGCTGGGATTACAGGTGTGCTATTATCATCCTATATATGTGAAAAACAGAAGCCTCTGCACAACTGGGATGCAGGACTAGGAAGACACCCACACTAACCAGCTTGAGTCTCATAGGGTCATGTGGAAGATGACATGACAATAAGCCAGTATGATGGCATTTTATCAGTTTATTAAGAAAACTGGTCAAAATTTTATTACAAACCTTTCAACATTTGTTTTATTTACTAGGGTATACAAATAAGGAATTTCAGTCACCACATAAAAGAAAAGGCAATATTTAGGTGCAATGACCAAGAAATTAAAATTATGCTTGTAGGGAAATTCTTATCATGAACAGTTCAACTGCTTTAGGCTTCTTTTGATGTAAGAAGACAATATGGTGGTTACTGGAAGGGTTTGAGATCTACACGACAGTGCAAATAAATTTGTTAAACCACCAATATTTTAAAAAAAAAAAAACTCCCAGTGAAGCAAAAATAAAACAACAAAACTCACATTAACAATGTTCTTTCTCTGTGATGCACAGGAACAAAACCTGTGTAATACAAGTAGGGCACTTTCATGGCCATAAAACAACTTCGGAGACCTAACTAAGAGCCCAATTAGAAAGTAGAAATGTCTAATAAAAAAAGAACCTCAAAATGTATAGTATGCCAATATTTTTTAGTCTTTACTTTTTTTTTTTTTACAACATTTTAAAATTTCACTAACATTCATAAAGACTCACTGTAAAAGAGCATAGGGTCAATACAAATTTTAAACTGTAAGGTTTTATTCTTCTATTAAAAAAAGAGAAAAACCCACTAATTTATGAGAATGAAATTAATCAGAAATGATCACTTCATAGGATCAGGTAACTCAATTTGTAAATGTTGACATTAATACACTAAAAAAAATTCACTTCAGAGTGAACAGAATATAAATGTGGCTGAACCACTTTGATGCTACACTGTTTTGTGGGAATTTACTACTTGGGAATTTATGCTTGCTGGTGCCAATTTTCTCTTTCACCTTGCAAAGCTCAATAAATCGTGGCCACTCTCTATACTCTATTAGAGAGCAATCCTATCACTTTACACCATGTCTGTAAACCATAGAGAAAAGACAATAGCAGAAGCACTCAGTTTTGGGGCTTTCAAAACCCTGAGAATCTTTATAAGATAAAATGGTAAAGCCCTAATGTTATGAAACTAAGTAATTTATTAGTACATCTGAAACTCTAGAAACTTATAAATTATTTTGACAGTTAAATGAGTTTCTGCCTTGTGTTCAGATACTATTTATATATGTATGTATGTATATATATATATATATAGAGAGAGAGAGAGAGAGAGAGATATCAATATATGTGAAAACATATTTATAATATGTATATATAAGTACATATTTAGAGTTCTGGAAAAATTAACAATTAAAAGTTTCATATCAAGTATTTTTGTCATGGTGGATCACGGCCAAAAATAAGGGAAACTGTTGCTGCTTCTGTTCTTAATGTCTCTATTTGGAATTGTATCACTTTTCATTTTCTCATTTTCTCCTTAAAAACAAGCCCACTGTAGTAGCCAATAGTCTTCATTTCATTATGTGTATTTTATTCAATTGACATTCCTACTATTCTTTATTATCTGGTGTTTGGAGAACTTCCATAAGCACTTACCCTAGACAAAGCTTCATTTTAGAAGAGCAAATGATCATCTAATCAGAGCTCTGACAGGAAAATTATTCAAGGAATGCCAGAAGATGCATCACTGTGCCTAAGGAGCATCTTGATCCAATGATGCTCAAGGAGTAAAGAATAAACTGGCGAAGATAAGGGGGAAATTTTAGTATAGGATAATCTAGGTTCACCTAGGCTTTTACTTTTTATGAAAATGAAAACAAAATTATAAAGATGCACACTAATCCTGTTGTCAACACCAATTAACTTTATATATAATTTGGTTTGCAGAAATTTACATTTTCCTCTACCATGCAATTAATCTACAGAATGGATATGAAAACAAGTTATAGTAACAAGTTTTCTAATTACGACAAGTGACCCAGAGCCTAAAACTGGTCACAATATAGATACTCTGTATATACTAAACTCCCTATACACTATCGGTTTTATTAAGGCTTAGTATAGATATGCCTTACCATCTTATAGACATTCAAGTTTAAAATGTAAATGGTAAAGGATATTGATAAACCAATTAGCGCTGATGCAAAGCAAATTCCTCTTTTATCTCAATTACAACATGACAACTTAATAGGTCAAGATAGTTTAACATCTGAGACAAGGGCAATTCAATAAAACAACAGCATCTTGATATGGTAATTAAGAGGAAATGTGAATCCATTACTATGTTTTTAAAAATATCTTAAGTACTTCAGCATTTTTTATTGCTTTTATCAAAAGTTGTGATATGAACCACTACTCTGCTTTGTGATATATTTGATAAGCAGTTTGGGAATGTGAAGAAGACATTGGAGCAAAGCAATCTTGTTCATTAAGCAATTTCTAAAATAAGAAATGTATACGTATTATATTCATGAAATAAAAAAACACTCAAAATTAATTAAGTGATTAATTACATGTAGTATTCTCAACCCAAAAGATTAAAGGCTAAAATTAAGACTAACTTTAAACATTCTAAAGGATGATCATTTGTAGGAAAAACGTAACTCCTGATTCACTTTAAAGAAAAGAATGAATGAGGTTTTATTTTAAAGGTATATCCTAATGTAAAGTAACCAAACCACAGGCAAGTTAAGTGTTTCTTGCATTTCAACATATTAGAAGAAATAGGACTTCCATATAAAAAGGTTAATATAACTTCAAATGCATTGTGCAATACATTTTATGGCTATGGCAAAGAGTATTCATATTCTCCAGGGTCCTACTGCTTGTCCAATAAACAAAGACTATTAAAGTTCAATAATGAAGTACTTTTTTCCAAAAAGTCTGTGGATCAACTCATTTATCTCTCAGGAACATCGTTTTTTAGCATCAGAAAATAAAGTAGGAAAGCCAATAAAAATTGTTAGCATATGAAAATATACTATTCGACAAACCTGATTCCAAGATTCATAGCTTCTGCGGTCCCAATCATACTAATAGCTAACAGCATGTTGTTGCAGATCTTTGCAGCCTAAAAACAAATTAAGTACATATTAAATGCTTTTCTTTTCAAGTTATAACTCATAGGAAATTTTTCTTCACTCAATTTCATAGGCTTCTTTCTAAAAGAAAGTAAGGAAGAAAATGTGGTACCACATACCTTCCTCTGAGCTGAATACACTGTCCACAGTGGACTGGGGGTGGAGGGGTCTCTGACACTGGGTAATAAACCTGTTATGACCAAGCTCCTACTATGACCACTATAGGAATACTGATCCATACAGCATAACTACTCTTTAGGGGATGGTACTTACATTCTACTGAGAAATAGGAATAATATGCTACATAAAAATCAACAAATGAACAAACAAAAACAATGAAGGGGTTAAAATGTATGGTAGAGAGGGCAGAAGTTCACAGAAACAAGACCACTAAAGATGGGAATACAGAAGAGGTAGAACTGGAAATCATCTCTCAAGGCCAAGAAAGAGAAAGGAGGAGAAAAGGGTAAAAGGTAAAATATACAAGACAGATTAAACATGTAACAGCATAGAATGGTCCTGGGATTAGTCAAAAAAAAATTACTTAAATGCATTTTTTAAATTTAATTTAATTGTTTTTACATTTACTTATAGGTGTATTCATTATTTGGGCCACCCCCAACTCCCACCTCTGGGCAGAACCTGTTCCACCCTCTTGTTCTTTGATTTTGTAGAAGAAAAAACATAAAAAATAATAAGAAAAACATGGCGCTTTTGCTAGTTTGAGATAAAGATAGCTACAAGGAAGATTCCTTGTGTTGTTTCCATGCCTATGTGTATTGCAACCCACATTGGTTTATCTCTACCAGACCTCTTCGCTACTTCCTAGTCTTCTTCCCATAGTGGCTTCTGCCAGTTTAAGATTACTATATTCTTTCCTATACAGTAAGCATATCAACCACATTCAACTTTTTGGTTTTCTTCCCTTTCCCTATCCCTCCCATGCACAGTCCCCCCTTAGTGTGCAACCCATGTCCAATAATATTACTGCATTTGTTTTAGGTCTATAATCCACATATGAGGGAGAACGTGCGATTTTTGGCCTTCTGAGCCTGGCTAACTTGGCTTAAGATGATGTTCTCCAGTTCCATCCATTTATCTATGAATGACAAAATTTCATTCTTCTTTGTGGCTGAATAAAATTCCATTGTTTATAAGTACCACATTTTCTTAATCCACTCATCAGTAGTGGGGCATCCTGGCTGTTTCCATAGCTTGGCTATTGTGAATAGTGTTGCAATAAACATGCGTGTACAGGTGCCTTTGTAGTAACCTGAGTCACAGTCCTGCAGGCATATCCCTAGGAGTGGTATTGCTGGATCATATGGCAGATCTATTTTTAGTTTTGTAGGAAACCTCCATATTGTTTTCCATAGTGGTTGTACTAGCTTACATTCCCACCAGCAGTGTATGAAGGTTCCTTTTTCCTTCCTGTTTTTCTAACAGGACTGAGGTGGAAGCTTAAGTGAGGTTTTGATTTGCATTTCCTTTATGGCCAGGGATGGTGAGCATTTTTTCATGTGTTTTTTAGCCATTTGGACTTCTTCCTTTAAAAATGCATTGGTTTTAAGGAGTGTTGAGAAATTTGATAGCTAAGGCTGTGTGAAGTGGGACAGAGTTAAAATGTGACATTGTAAAAAATATGGAAGTACCATGATAATACAAACAAGTTGATGAGGTTAGCTTAGGTTATAGTATTGGGCAGTGATAAATTTAGCATCTAGAAACCCATTAGGTCCTCTGAGCAATAAACTAGGTATTAAATAATGAACAATTAGACCATGTAGTATATAAAACGGACAAAATGGTCAACAATGGGAGTCACTGACGCAAAACTCAAAAGAGCTTGAAGAATGACTAAACAAGAGTACTTTTCAAGTACGCTGACGGATATCAGCTTAAGCCCACAGGAAGGATGGAAAACCAATTTATTCCAAATTATTTTAAGAAAATCTAACAAAGAACCCATGGATTAAAAGAGGAGTTAGTATGTGGTTAGGAAAGAGAAAGGAACATTAGAAAATCTTATATCAAGTCAAGGTTATTAATGGGACAATGTTACCTGCCCAGTCCCAACAGCTCCACAATACACCACATTGGCGCCCATGCATCCCAGCAACTCTTGGGCAGCAGCAAATTCATCTTCGACTCCTCCCACCATAAATGTGAGGTTCCCAGACCGAGCAGCTCCTACACCTGAATCATTTGAAAGTAAAGAGATAGAAGCAAAAGGATGTGTTTCTTAAAATGTTAAATACCAAAATGAGAGAAAATCTCAAAATCAAATGAAAACTCTTGCCTCCAAAATGTACCTATGGCAGGCATGTAAAAGATACTCTAAATCATCATAGGAATATTTTGATAATGAAATATCATGCAGCAAGTTAATCACAAACCAAAAAGGACATATAGATATAGTCATACTCTCATTCTCAAGTCATCTTGTACATTTTGCACAACCGTGGCATAATATACAAGGGAATTTGAAGTATGAATTTTATCCTGATTGATCTGTTCTAAGAAATTTTTTCTGTAATAAGACATATAAGAAAAAGGTTTACCCGGGTCCTGATTAGCACAGCAGCTGCCAAGTCTGGATTTGTGGTCTGTGGCCTCCTTGCTCCCTCTCCCAATCCTATCAATAGGGGAGAGCTGCAAGGAAAGAGAACTGGCTCCTTGACCCACAAACAAGTAGGCATTTCAGGTGGTAAAATTCTTTTCTAAGGGAAAAAACCTTTTGCTTATTTAGACTGATTATTCTCATGTGCACTTTCCAATATTATTTGATATTTCTTTTCCTTCCTGCTATACATCTTTTGGGCAATTCATTCCTAGTGATATGAGCAGGAAAAAGAATTAAACTTTAACACTGGTTTGACTCCTTCTCAGTAGCTTTTAACAAAGGCTTAATACATCTTCACTGATTGAAATGAACAGAAACATCTAACACAGAAAACTTGGCCTAGGCTTGTCTTAAAAGGGGGCCTCATTTGTTTAAATTTTAATAACTATAAAATAGAGTAAATATTATTGTTGTTTTTAATACTGAGAGAAATCTTAAACCATAATTTTCAAGTTAAGTTTTATTGTTCAAAAATAGGAAAGTATATGGATAAACTATACTTTCCCTTTATAACTTAATTTACAGTACACAAAAAAAAAAAAAAAAGAAAAAGAAACTAATTGTACTAAGTATCCATCCTGGCCACTAGACTATATACATCTACAAGTAACTGCCTGGTTTTGAATCAAATTTATTCAAAGAATAAATATTAAGATTTTTTTTTTACACATTAAAAATAGTACCAAGTGAAGGGTTTTCCTATTTCATGCAAATTTTGAGTATTTGGCTACTGCCAAATCAAGTAGCTTTTTTTTTTTTAACCAATTACTAAAGCCAAAGAATCAGCATTATTTTAGTCAAACAATCTTAGAAGACTGAGTGCCACATATTATGAAAGCCTAAAGTGCTCACACATGTAATTAAATTACATTATTTCACAGTATCTTCAGACTGATTTTGGAGTGGATTATGAACAAAAACCCAATTGTAAAAAAATGTTTCCAATTAGCCAACCTCTGTTATTTGAATATTCTGATAATGTAGACATTTAAGTGACTGTCATTTTGCTAGTTTCTAGTTTACTTCACCCAAGATAGTGAACGATTAAAGTTTTACAATTACTTTGCTCAAATTCTTTAGCCATTTTTATTCAAACCACATAAATACCCTTTCTCCTAATCCTGTTGATCTGACCTAGAGAAATTAAGTAGACAATTTAAGTCAAAGCTTACAAACAAATCCAGTACAATCCATCATAGGTCAATAGCTTTGTATCTAGATTACAAACTGCTAAATAGCTTCAGAGAGTCATTTATTAAAGGAAAATTAATGCTGACAATGGTTCTCAGCTGGTTAATCTTTTGACAGGTGCACTTTCTCACTTGTTCAAATACGTATTTCAAGAGGAAGAAATAAGTTACTTAAGCAAGAGAAGACCTCAAAAGAAAGAATAATTTGTCTTTATTTATTTACTTATTCATTCATTCATTCATTTAGCAGTACTGGGGTTTGAACTCAGGACTTCATGTTTGCTAGGCAGGCCTTCTATCACTTGAGCACTCCACCAGCCCAATCATTGGTCTTTAAATTTAGAAATCCATGGTAGTTCCACTCTTTCCTCCTCTCAATGTGTTGTTGTAATTATTTCCAACTTTATCATATCCTACCTTCCAATGTAAAGGTCTGACAAACTGAGTAATTCTAAAGCTTTCGGCATTCTTGGGACTAAATCCTTATCTTCCCATCAACACTATCAAGCTAGTCCCAAGTGCACAAACAGAACTAAGACCTAAGTAATCCTAAAAGAAATGTAGCCATTTTGAACTTAGGAAAGACTATCTAAAAAACCATGTAACACACCCTATATATTCCAGAAGACACTGGATAGGCTTTTATATCTAGCAATAATAAACAATAATTACCTTGCCATGCTACTTTAATTCAAGTCCATTTCCAAAATAGGGAAACATGGAATGTACACTCAGGTAGCTTCTAAAATACTAGGAGAATTTACAGGTGGAGCATTCCTAACCCCAAAAGTCTAAAATCTGAAATGTTCTAAAGTCCAAAACTTTTTGAACATCAACATGACATTACAAATAGAAAACTCCCTATCTGTCTCATGTGACAGGAAGCATACAGGTGTACTAAAAATCCTATATAAAGTTACTTTCAGGTATATACAAGGCACATGTAAAACATAAAGGAATTCTGTGTTTAGACTTAGGCCTCAACCCAAGATATCTCATTACATACATGCAAATACTCAAAAAAAAAAAAAATCCCAAATCTCAAACACTGGTCTCAAGTATTTCAGATAAGGGACACTCACCTATATTTTAGTTTATATTGTAATGGTTTTATATACAAAACCAAAATATACTGGCTTAATTCCATTATAGTATTTATCACACTTTATTAAAATCTTTGATTTTTTTTCTCATCTGATTCCTCCTACAAGGTCAGCATGGGACCTTGTTTATGTCACAATCCCCATTACCTGGCACAGTGGATGATCTATTCAATAGATGATTGTCTGGAAAATAAATTAATAAGCATGGTACAAAGAGTAAAGGATCTGAAGATATAGTGTCTGGTTTTTCAGAGTGTTACTTGTTGGCTGTGTGGTTATAAACAAATTACTTAAATTCTAGTCTCTGTGTATAAAATGGGAAAAGCATTAAAAACTTATTCATAGAGTGGTTGTAAATATGTGAACATACATATAAGAATAAAATGCCATTTAAATATAAGGGTTTTCTATTTGATGACTTGGGTTCATGCAGTGGGAGTGTCCTACTTGGTAATCTAAGCCACTTGTTTGTCTCCTAGGATAATTTTAGCCTTGTTTGATAATATTAGCTGGTTTGGGCTGAATCCATAAGCAACAGAAGCTGGCTGGCCTAGGTGAAGAAGAACTACAGAGAGGTTCACAGTTAGTGATGCTAAAATTACATCGCTGTGAAGACCTCTTGCAAAATCTCTCAAGGACGGTGGTATGCAGGAGAGAAAAGAAACCTGCATTTATTTATCCATTCAACACAATTAACTGGGCAACTACTAATTATCAGGCTCTGTGGTTAGTTATCCTATGGAGGCTGAATCACATGTGCCCCTATCCCTAAGAAATTATACAGTGTGATATGGCCACTTTTCTCCTTGTCCATTGCTACCACACCGGTCTGAGCCACTGCCACCTCTCACCTGGACTACTACAATAGCCTACTATTGTAGGCTACTTGACCTCCTTTCACTCTTGCATCTACAGTCTATCCTGCATATAGCAGTCTCTTAAAACAAATCTGCTTCAGGTTTCTCCTCTACTCACAACCTTCCAAAGGCTTCCCACCACTCAGAATAAAATCCAAAGTCTTATAAAGCCTGAAAGGGCAATTTCACATGGCCTGTGACTTTCTTTCCTCTTGTTTTAGACCATTCTTTCCATCATCCACTGTTTTTCAGCTATCTTGGCCTAACCCTGTTCCCAAAATAGGTCAAGCATATCCCATCTCCAAGCCTTGGACTTGCTAGGCCTTTTGCCTGGAATGTTCTTCACTCAGTTATTTATGACTTTTATCTTTCATTTAGGATTCTGTTCAAAATTCACCTCTTCAGAAAGGCCTTCCCAAGACTACTCCATCCAACAGTTCAGAATAGCACCTTATTGTACTGTGTATGGTGGCACCTATAATCCCAGCACTTAGGAGGCTAAAGCAGGAGGACTGATATTTGAGGCCAGCCTGGACTTCACAAATACCAAAAAAGAAAAAAAAAAAAGTCCTCTATCATTCTCCATCTTTTCCTTGCTTTACTTGTAGCATTTACTACCCTCTATTATTTTAATACTCTTATTTATTTCTGGTCTGCATTCTCCCTATGCACATTATTAGCTCCATGAAGGCAGAGAGAGCTGGCTCATTAACCCCATACCCACACATTCTGATACATAAGAGATGCTCAGTAAATTGACTATTTGTTCAAAGAGAGAGAGAGTGGGAGGTGCTATGATTTGACTGTGTCCTCCAAAGGCAAGTTGGAAACTTCATCCCAAAGATAATAGTGTTGAATAGTGGGGCTTTCTGAGAGGTGATGAGAACACAAGTGCTCTGCCATCATGAACAGACTAATGCCACTGTCAAGGAAGTGGAATCCTACTAAGAGCGCAAGTTTAGCCTGTTCCATGCACTCTCGCACTCACACTCTTTTCATTTCTCTCTCAGCCTCTTTCCCCTTCCGTCATTCAATGCAACAAGAAGCTGGCCTCTCCGCCTTAACTTCCCAACTTTGAGAGCCATTAAAAAGAAATCTCTGCTCTTTATAAATTATCCAGTGTCAGACATTCCATCAGCAGCACAAAATGGCCTAAGACAAGAGGCAGAAAATGGTAGAAAGATCAAGGAAATGAACAACTGCAGCACTGAGTGACAAGTGCTCTCAGAGTTATGCACAAGATGCCAAGAATTCCAATGCACTTCCATCATTCTAGCAAGTCATTAAATGCCAGTTACCCTAAGTTTTTTCCATCTATGAAGTGAAGTGGTTAGACATAATAATCACTGAATTACTTTTAAGCTTTCGAAATTCTATGATACTCTGGAGTTTTCAAATTCACATGTCTATATTCAAACACTCA